TGTCCCCTGAAGAAGCAGCTAGAGAAAGCTCGATAACTTGGTACTTACCTCATCATCCAGTGACTAATCCCAACAAACCTGACAAGCTCCGTATCGTCTTCGATGCCGCATCTGAGTATGAAGGAACATCTCTAAACAAGAATCTCGTTCAAGGGCCAGACATGACAAACAGTCTCGTTGGTGTGCTGCTGCGATTTCGACAGGGGCATGTAGGGGTAGCCGCTGATGTCGAGGCAATGTTTCATCAAGTGCGTGTGCGTAAACAAGATCAAGAAGCTCTACGATTCCTCTGGTGGACAGATGATTACGACAAACCCCCGGATGTCTATGTTATGGAAGTACACATATTTGGAGCAACCTCGTCCCCTTGCGTTGCAAATTGGGCCCTGAGAAGAACAGCCAGTGACAATGCTGAAAGGTTCAACCCGCAAGTTGTTGCAACTGTTGACAGGAACTTTTATGTTGACGATGCTCTGCCATCCTTCAGTGAGGAGAATGCAGCATCTACTGTAGCATCGGACCTAGTGAAAATCCTGAATCACGGTGGCTTCAACCTTACGAAATTCATGACGAACAGTAAGAATGTTTTGGCAACCATTCCCACCGAGAAAAGAGCCACACCAGATCTGAATCTTGACTTAGACGAACTGCCAGTGGAAAGGGCGCTAGGGATTCGCTGGTTTGCTGAAACAGATGAGCTTGGATTTGACATCAAGAACTTGAATCGACCCGAAACAAAGCGTGGAGTACTGTCCGCCGTTTGTTCCCTGTATGACCCTCTTGGGTTTGCTGCGCCTGTGGCCCTTACTGCCAGAGTAATTATCCAGGATATGTGGAAGGCTAAGGTAGACTGGGACCAGCCACTCGAAGAAAACTTCTTAGCCAGATGGAAGTCTTGGACCTCACAGCTGTCATCCCTCTCTGCACTGCGCATCCCACGTTGCTACTTGCCAGCTGGAACAGATGCTTCCAAATGCAAACTACAGCTGCATATCTTCTCTGATGCCTCTGAAATTGGCTACGGTGCATCTGCGTATCTAAGAGTCGAGAATCCAGATGGGTCTATTCACTGCTCGTTTGTTGTGGGGAAAGCAAGAAATGCACCTGTCAAGTTCACAAGCATTCCAAGGCTTGAACTCCAAGCTGCTGTTCTGTCTACACGCTTGAATAAGATGCTGAGAGAAGAGTTGGACCTTCCTATTCAGAGCACCAAGTTCTGGACAGACAGCGAAATAGTTCTCCACTACTTGAAGAATGAAAGGCGTCGTTTCCAGACCTATGTCGCTAATCGAGTCGAAGAAATCAGAGGAAACTCACAGCCAGACGACTGGAACCACGTGCCAGGTGTCTTGAACCCAGCCGACGATGCGTCACGTGGCTTGAACCCCTCTGAGCTAAACCTTGATCACCGCTGGCTACGAGGACCAGAGTTCTTATGGCAACCTGAATCCTTTTGGCCCAACGCAAGCCTTCGAGAAGTCCCCGATGAAGGCCTAGAGCTTAAGAAAGAAACCCATGCTAACTGTACTGACATAAACACCAATGTCAAGACCCGCCAGGCAAGCGTACAGTCTAATTGCCCCCCCGCCACACCTGTTGAGACCACCATGCAACAAATAATAAGCACCTCCTCTGATTGGAACCGTCTCAGACGTCAAGTGGCTTGGCTCACACGCTTCACTCATTTCATCCGTGACCGGAAGACTGTCCACACAGGTCATCTGACTTTAGAAGATTACGATGCTGCTACCTTATCCATCGCAAAGATCGTCCAGCACGCAGCCTACGATCAAGAGATCAAGGATCTAAAGACCAGGGGCGAAGTCAGGGGATCCAGTAAGATCGCTAGTTTGAACCCAATGCAAGACGACCATGGTGTTTTGAGAGTCAAGGGACGTATAGCATCACCACCAGCTGCTGACACTGCCAGGAATCAAATAATACTGCCCAGAGATCATCCAGCGACAGTCCTGATGGTCCGCCACACCCATGCATCAATTGGTCACCTGGGGCGTGAACACCTCATAGCAAGGGTTCGAGAGACGTTCTGGATCCCACAAATAAGGGTGTTAACACGTTCTGTCCTGGGTCGGTGTCTTGTTTGTAAGAAGTTGAATGCCAAGCCGATGACTCAGCAAATGGCTCCCCTGCCAAGAAGCCGGATGATGGCGTACGAACCCCCATTCTCCTACACAGGAATGGATCTATTCGGTCCTTTATACGTCAAGCATGGAAGAGGAACAGCCAAACGGTGGTGCTGCTTATTTACCTGCCTGACGACACGTAGTGTACATCTTGAATTGGTTCACTCGATGGACACAAACGACTTCATAATGTGTCTGCGACGATTTATAAACCGTCGTGGTGAAGTGACTGAACTAAGGTGTGACAGAGGATCAAATTTTGTCGGCGGTGAACGAGAGCTGAGAGAGTCGATCGAGCAGTGGAACCAGCAACAAATTGTGCAAGAGCTTCTACAACGAGGGTGCAAATGGGTCTTCCAGCCGCCAACTGCTTCTAGCATGTCTGGGATTTGGGAGCGGATGGTGCGAAGTGCTAAGACTGTTCTGAAGTCTATCCTAGGGACCCAAGTAGTTACGGAAGCAGTTCTTCAGACGCTGTTGACTGAAGTTGAACGAGTGTTAAATGGGCGAGCGCTCACCGCCAATTCAGACGACCCAAATGACCTTCAGCCACTCACGCCAGCGCATTTCTTAATGCAGAGGAAGACTATCTGCCTACCCCCTGGCATATTTGAGAAAGCAGATCAGTATCACAGAAGGAAATGGAGGCAGGTACAATTTCTGGCAGACCTATTTTGGAAGAGGTGGTTGCGTGAGTATTTACCTACCCTGCAAGCCCGAGGAAAGTGGAGAAAGGTCTTACCTAACTTGAAGCCGAAGGCCCTTGTCCTGTTAGTTGATGACAACGTGCCGAGAGGATGCTGGAAACTTGGACGAGTCCTAGAGGTCTTCCCTGGCCCCGACGGCCTGGTGCGCACAGCGAAAGTCAAGACAAAGGACTCTGTGTTCATCCGACCTATTCAGAAGCTATGCCTACTGGAGAACGATCTTGAGAATAATTAGTCTAGGCTAGTGACGTTGGGCCTACCTACTGGGTTGTCCCAAGGCCGGCGGAATGTTTAGTCCAAATTTTATTTTGATTTATTTTTGCGTTCACTTCCTTTTTGGACACTACGTGACTACTTATATCATGTTAGTTTCGGATGGTCACATGACCACAGCAAAAGCAGATCACCACGTGTTTTCAAGTGTAGTGTTATAGAGCAAATGTTTTGAATTTCTCATCGATTGCATCGCACAGAATGTAAGTAGTTTTGCTCTTTAGTGTCGCTTTAGGTTTATTTAGGTTTTCTTTAGGTTTATTTGTCATTTTTGCTTATTTTATGTTCAGTTTTCACCGTTCATGACCAGTGATCACCGATCGAACCAAGCACGAGAAACTTGGCGATTAAAGACAGATTAATAGTCCAATCAACGCGTCGAAATTTCTGTGTCGACCCCAACACGTTATTCCTTGGTTATATATAAATGATCGCACTTGGATTAAAAAAAATCCAAGAACAACTGATCATCAATTTATTTCTTTTAAAAGTTGTGATCTGTTGGTTACAATGATGTAACAAACAATGTGTACAGTAAAACTGTGAAAATATACTGACAGTAGTTGAAAAATCATGCAAAGACCCCCTTCATTGGACGCGTCGATTACTTAGCAATTTAATATTTCCGAAATTAGAATACATCATTGGCTGTTTAGTGAGCATGTTTTGACGAGAATCTTAATCATACAAGGATATTCTCTGTCCCTAACAGAGTGTTGCTATGCACAGTGTACGAAGCTTTTAAATTTTCTCTAGCTTTTTTTCAAATTATGCTTTTTGATTTAATGTTTCTTTAATATTTCTTATTTCACCCAGTTCTCGTAACTTTCATGAAGACAGATCACCAGTTGAGGAAAACAAGGTAAATCATACATACGTAAGCCATGCTCTAATCTTCCTACACCCATTGTAATGTCTGTTGTTTCTAAAACATATTTCAAGTACACGGATCAGAGTAGGAATAACTCCAGTCAATATAGTACACAAAACTTTTCAAGGTAAAATGTCAATAAGCACTATTTAACAATCATGGTAAAAAAAGAAAGAGTTTTCAGTGCCCAATGATAGTATAAAACTTGATTCCTAGCTTTGCTTCTATTTCGAACAAAAGTATTTGGAATTTCCGCAAAGAGAAATTTTCGAATTTGGATGTGGGTAAAATCTGTACCTCATTCTGGATGGAGAAATGAAACAAGAAAATTGTACTTCTCTTAGCTACAAAAAATCCTTTTCAAAAAATCGAACTGCGAACTGTCCTCACTTTAATTTTTTTTTCACCGCACAAAGAGGTAATAAGCTGACGGCCATCCTCGTAAAGCTACAACACCAAATCAAAAGATCGCCCGGCGGTTAAAGGACAAAATTGAGCTATACTAAGGGATAGATCCTACGCGTAATAAAATTTTAATAAATATAGTAACTGCGTTGTGTCTGGTGGATTTTCGACCACGGAAAGATCTGCAAAGGATCTCAGTTACTGAAAAACACATGAAACACGAATTTCCTCATGCTAAGCAGAAAGAACCAATCAAAATGCTCGACGCCATTTATGTGTGAATTTTAATCACTGGGCCATGATTTTGTTAAAACTTGTTTTGAACGTGAAACGGTTAAGCAATTATCGCAAGAGAGATAAATTAACCTGTCGCGATAATCACTGCTATCATTTGGCTTTGGCAATTGTGAAAGAAGGTAAGAGTGAAGTTCAAAAGACGCTATAACAGTTCTCAAGACTCCATAGCATTCAAGTCGTTCATTTTTCCAAGGCATATCTTAAGTATGAAATATATCGTTAATCTTGTTATTGTAATTTTAATTGAACTCACCAAAATATTTCATACTATGATCAAACATTTAGTGCACAAGTTAGACATTGATGATGCGATCACGAGTTAATATGACCACCATGTTATTTGTACTGATTTTATCGCTCATGGCCGCTTTCTGCTCTGCCAAGAACAACAAACAATCAGACACCAAGGTAACTGCATTCATACTCATGATCACAACACATTTTTTATTACAGTTGATGTTAATTTACGGAGAAAACAAGAAAAAACTAGGTATCTTGAGTTAATTTAACAAAATCACTGAGTCAGAAGGTTGATTAAGAAATGCTTAAAATGCTTTAAAAATTAAGATGGTATGATTACTTGTGCAACCGATCGGTATATAAGAGAAAGAACATTTTCAAGTTTAAAACAATTAAAAGTAACATTATTACCAAGTAAACGTGGTAATACTATAACATGTCTTCTTTAATATAAGACGAATTTCCGTAATCAAAATTTGCGCGTTCATCTAAGAAACCCAAATTCGCACGTCCTCAACTGGATTAAAACGCTAGATGACAGACAATATTGTCCAAAGCTACTAGCATTTAGTCATTAAATTTCCTCTTTTTGCAGCCTGTTTCATCTTGTCCATCTTGCAACAATGGTGGACAAACTGGGATGTGGACATACATGACATGTGTCCCAGGAGCCCCTGGGGCACCTGGTCGAGATGGAGCCAAAGGAGAACTGGGCAGCCCGGGGAAAACTGGGACCCAAGGACCACGCGGTGCTGATGGAAAGAAAGGAGCAAAGGGAGAGCCTGGGATCCAGGGTTCCGCCGGACAAAAAGGAGAGCGAGGGGACAAAGGCGACAGTGTAACGCCCCGACTGGCTTCACACACGAACTGGAAGGAGTGTGCTTGGAAAAAAGCGGACGGCAAAGATTCAGGACTGATATATGTAAGCGAGCGATATCATTGTGTAACCAGAAAAAAAAATACTGTTAAATTTCTCAAAACGAAGAATTCATCGATATAATTGACTTTCATTGCGCCATAGATGACATAAGTCTTATATATTTTATTATAATTGTTTCTTCCAGAACTGTGACTTTTTGAAGAAATACCCGGACACTTCCCTCCATGTCTACTACGCTGGTAACTTCAGGGTTCACGGATGTGACGACTGCTGCAGTCGCTGGTATTTCACCTTCAATGGAGCCGAGTGCAGCTCTCCTGGAACTATTGACGGTGCATTGTACTTGTACACATTGGGCCAAAAGTTAAGTCCTCAGCATCACCGTCACATTGAAGGTCACTGTAATAACATTCAGAAAGGAAAGGTGCGAGTTGGATTCTGGGTTGGAAAGTGCGTCACAGGCCATAAGCTTTCTGACGCCTACACTGGTTGGCATTCACTGAGTCGTATCTTCGTTGAAGAAGTGCCAAAAGCCCAACAGTAAGCACCAGTCAGGTGATCATCTGGACTTTTTAAACACAATGGCGTTAGCAGATATGTAGTGACTGGGTAATGAGGTGTGTAAAGTAACGGTTGCTATCAAATCTGTATCAGCTAAAAATAAAATCCAGAAGCATCCACTGTTATGTTCAATTGGCTCAATGTTATACTTGCCTCATCAATTTTCCCTATTGAGTCATAACAAAGACGTACCTTGCGTCGAATTATAAACTGCCTTTCTCTTCAACTCCCCTAATTCGTCCACTTGCCTCTTTCTCATTCAGAAACAAAACCTTTAAGGGGCTATTTCAAGGTGAATTCCACAGTTCAGTTTATTTGGTCAATAGCTGAGGCGAAATTAAAACTAAGTATCCTCAGTCATCTTTCTTATACTTGAACTCTATAGAAGCGTGTATTTTAATTTTTGTTATATTTGTCAACAGCAAAACAACTTAGGTATATAGAGATAATTACTTCATGGACAGGGGGCGCGTACGGGATTTTCGCACGAGTTGGTGATGTATCAGAAATGGAGCGAGCGCAGCGAGCGAGTGAGATTTCTGATACAAACAACGAGTGTGAAAATTCCGTACAAGTCCCCTGTCCATGAAGTAATTTATTTATATATTTCATACATACTGAGTGAACATTTCTTCTTATTATTTGGGAAAACTTCTCTTTATTTAGAAAAAATGACCAGCGAATTTAAGAAACAAGGGCCAGCTCAAACCAAATGCCATAAAAAATATGTCATTCGTTGGGCTCTACAAATGTTGTGAGTTAAAATATTGACAAAAAATTGATTAAAAATAAACTACAATTTACTGACTCAAGACTGTCTACGATGATTACATCATTAAATGACCCTTAAAACACCGAATAGTACTATCAATAAAAAAGCTTTGGCAATTGTCACTGGAATGGTTCAGCAGGCGGGATGTCCTCATCGGATGAGTCGAGAACTCGCTTGTTGCGTATCTATTACTATAAACAGTAACAGTAACTATAAACTCACTCAGAAAATCATTGAGTCGGCCTGTGATTGAATCTCTTCTATTTTTCTGCTTTCTTGCTTGGATTTCAGAAACTCGGAGAGCAAGCCGACATCTCGTCTAGCTTTCGACAACGTTTGTTTGTTTTTCTGTTCTTCGATAAATTGGTTAACGGACTTCTGCAAAGCGGGAAAGCAGAGGATTTCTCCTTCAGCCATTATTTAGTTTCTTCTGGCAATTTTCTTGAGATATTATCCAAACCAAAAATCTAAACGTTTTAACTTTTTGACAAAGCTGCCAGAATAAAACCTTTTATGAAAACACAAAGCCACCGAAAACACGGTTGCTTTTGGTGGGTGCGCTGTGATTGGTCGAAACGTTCTACTCACACGTGAAAAAGCCGTTTCGCTTTTCTGATTGATAAAGGCACGAACGTATAAAGGCACGAACCATGTTTTCACTCAGGTTGACTCAAACAGAATCACTCAGTATGTATTGAATAAAAAGGTATCCACTTATTGTTTAGGCCGGCTCTGAGCCACTTATTTTGTTTTTAATGCAAACTGTTATTTTAGGGTCCTAAACAATTGTAGCACAGCTCCTTGAAATTAATCTTTATCCAAATCTATTAAATAGGTCAGCCCATAAAACTTTGGATCCTTTCAAACGACACTAAAATGTGACTACAGCATATTTCAGGTCTGGAAAATGAAGAAAATACTTTTAATCCTGGATCGTTCCAGTTGTGATAGCAACTGAATTAAAGCAATTTCAAATTAACTATCACAACTGGGACGATCATATCTGCATTTAGATTTTTGTATTTGATTCCGCTATTCAAATCATCATCTTTATTAGTATCCCCATACGGTTCATGTACTTTCCTAATGAGTTCCTTGCTCAAAAAGTATGTTGGTAGCGTTGTCATCTATAGACTAAATTTATTCTTTGCTACGTTTTCAGCTCGCACCTCAACCTTTAATGACGAAGCAATATTCACTGAATAGGTGGGTTTGGGCAGCGCAAACTCTGTTGACCAAAGCAAATATATACAGTTTAGATCTGTAACAACAGCATTGAGAAATAACCTTAAAACACAAAACGTCACAACGGCGAAAGAAAATATTGATCTTACATCGTACATACTCCTATGCCTGAATAATCATAATTTTCGCTCATTTGTTGATTTTATCTATTTCGTACATTAAAAGGAAGTGATCTATATCAAATCTATAGACCTTTTTCATCTCACGTCACGGAGCCAAAAAACGAGAAGTCCAAAGACTACTGCGAAGCCGTGTGATCATAACAACGTGTATTGCTTTTTCATAACGTCACGGAGGCCATTAGTGTAGTGAGAAACAATTCCTTTCGGATTGAACTCTTTTCTTATGTAAAAACTTTCTTTTTTGTTCGAGAACTGACCAGCTGTCCACGTGGGTGAAAACGGGAAATGTAAAGGCTATGATTGGCCGTATTCACGCTAGAGACGGATTATCCGTCTGAGACGGGTTATCCGTTGGATAATTCGCGTCAAGCAGATAATACGTCTTAATTTGAAAATGGAATGGTCTTCATTTTAGATGGACAACCCGCCTGAATTTATCCATTTGTTTTTCGTCAATTTTGACTGATTTTGAGGACGGGATTATCTGTCTCAGACGGATAATCTGTCTTTAGTGTGAAAACGGCCAATACATAGGGCGCTAACTTGTTTCGTAAACAGTCCAGAGCTTTTCCACTTTTGGAAATGTGCGAATTCAAACAATAACGTTACATCACAACATGGCGGCTTAAAAATACACGGTCCTCGAACCGATTCGAAGTGGTGTGAAAATCTGCCGTATTTCACGTTTTCCCAGCAATGTTTGCTCGTCTTTTAGTAATACAATATCAAAGAAGTGGTAAAAGATTTGTGCTTTAGATGGCGAGCAATAGCTTCGAATTATCAGAGAAAGTGAGATATTTTTCTTTCGATGCACGAACTAATTTTGATTATTATTTCGATCGACGAATCATCTTCACTTAGAAATATCTCTCGTTGCAAAAATTTGTTCACGTCTCAAAAAATGCGTGGGACATTCTAGAGATTTCAGTCTATACTAGTTGTGTGGTGTGATTATGTGGAGAGGGGCCGCGTTTCTGGTGGACGGGCCGCGAGAGTTTTTTGTGAGGCAACCGTCTGTGGCAAAATTACCGCTTTTAGACAACAGACTATGCTTTGAGGGAGATCACCGAGACTTGATAGGTGAACGTTAGAGATTTCCTTATGGTAAATTTTTTGACATACTTTTGATCACTGGAGATCGGTTATTAACAAGCTAAAACAGTGAGGACTGATAGAAGACGATAGTCGGTTTTTTGCTCAAGGCAGTGTTGAGAGCCGTATGGAGCGTCAATATTCGAAAAGTTGCATCCGGTCGGAGATTAAAATTTGTCATAAGCACAATGGAAGAATGCTGACGCCATTTCCAAAATGGGAAAATTTTAAGAAACCTGTTCAGTGACCATGTTACAAAATTCGGCCGACCTTCGATTAAAAAGAGCGAAAGTTTCTTCTGAGGCCAAAGACACTGACTCTGTGCTCAGTGAGAGTAAGCAACACGAAGATGGACACTACGTGTCTTCTATTTTGGAAATTATTACTGTAAGTTATTGCTGTGAAGGATTCTTTAATTTGGCTTACCAAATGTTATTTGCCTTATTTTTGCTCATTGTATGTCTTGTCTTGTACAAATTGAGATCCTGCTCTTAAGTCAAAGCCAGCAGTGAAGAAAATTTGAACAATCCGAACTTGACCCATTCAACAATAGTCTGTTGGAACAGATTAAAGGAACAGTATCCCATTACTGCGCATGTACCAAATATTGATTTTCTTTTCTGTCGCGAATCCAAAAGCCATGCGGAGAGTAGGCCTTTCCCGATTGCGCTGAGCACCTTTTGAGCACTTTTTTGAGTTTGGAGCACTATTTTGCATTTTGAGCACCCTTACGCACTTTTTCGCACTTTGGGCAACATTTGAGCAATATTTCACATTTCGAACAAATTTCGAGCAACATATGTCTTCTAAAACATTTTAAAGCAAAAACTGTGTGTCGCTTGCAACGAGAATCGTGTTCCAGGTCATAAATTTGAATAACTAATGATGTTGTCAAGAATAAAAGACCGTAGTAATGGTCAGGCACGTGGACTTATCCTCACTGAGCTTGAGAACAGAAGTTTCTGATTGGCTGATGTATCATGCGTGTGTCATCTCAAATTTCTAAATCATCTGATGCTAGTACTGCTGAATTGATTTACAATTCGTAACCGGCTTTAGTTTTTAAAAATATTATTGTTCTATATTCTATCAACCTTCCGTAACAACCTGTCGAATAACGCTGCGCAAAATAGATTGTTAATTACTTCAGTAAAAATTGACATATTTACGAAAAGCTTAGAGGCAACTGTTCACAACTTTTAGCACTTTTTGAGCACTATTTTGAGATTTTGAGCACGTTTTAGCCATTTTTGCCAGCACTTTTTTAGGATTTTACGAGCACAATCGGGAAAGGCCTAGCGGAGAGGGTAAGAGAACCTTGTAAAATCCGTTTGCATCGCGCTTGGCCGAGTTCGATATTAAACTAAAACTTCTCAGAATTACAGATCAATGATATATTGTTCCCGTTAAGTTTCTATTTGGGCGAAATGGGGATTTTTTGGGCGTTATTTTCATTGCCGTTTGCCTGAGGACCGGGTTTAATGCCAGTTGAAGGCTTATTTCTCCCGCCAGCTTTCATACAAGCTCAGATCATATCGTGAAAGGAATACGCAGAAATGGAACAGCAACAATAAAGACTATGTAAGAAAGAAACCATTGAGACATGGATGTGACTGAGGATATCTTGTGGAATAAAGCTTCGTGAAGCACAATGTTTTGGAACGAAGCGTTAGTTAACTTCTAAGTCAGTATTAATAACAGGTAAGTATGAAATATGGACAGATAAGCGATTTTTAAATGTTTAGGATTGGT